TGTTATATCACGGGTGTGGGAGAAACACCTTTGAAACCAATGTGGTTTCTTTAATGATGACATTAAGAATTAAATAAATACAGGGTACACTATTAACACAGGGAAAAATATATTAAAAATATAAAAAGTGTTTTAAAAGGTGGAGCTTCCAGGTTAAGCTAAATTATGAATATAATTGCCTTTAAAACAAATGCTATAATAATGAATAATAATAATTTAAATATATTATATAAATATATTTAATATATTTATTTCAAATACATTTTCTAAATTACTCTCTATATATATTTATATGTATATATTTATGTATATGTATGTGTATATATGCATGTATATATACATATAAATATATCTATCTATCTATATACAGATTAATATATTATATAAATAAATTAAATATATTTATTGCAAATACATTTCCTGACTCTCTCTCTCTCTTACATCTCTCTCACATATATAAATAACTATGCCTACTTACATACAAATACACATGCATACATATATTTACGTGTATATATTCATGTATACGTTTGTGTATATATGTATATATAGATAAATATATCTATCTACCTATCTATCTATGTATAAATGTATATCTATCTATGGATATATGTATATGTACACATACTCCCAACAATATATTTATCATCACATTTACAGGCTCTACCTTCTGATAAACTCAACATGACAACATTTTTTAAACCAATCAGTGCCGACTTTAACCTTAGAGTCAAATGTGACTAGCTGAAAACAAACAAACTCACGTCCTTATGTCAGCGCCAGGAATATATTTGTTTTTTACTTGACTAATATCCTCTGTGTTCATTTGCAATTATTTTTGACAGAAAGTAAGACAGAATTCTCACAGCTCAGAGGTTGGCAGCACCGGAACCCATCAACCAAATAAGCAGTGCTATCAAGGGCAAAGTGAGCCAAGGCGTTATTTTAATGAGCCATATTTAAAATTCAGTGCATCCACAGTACATGGATTACACTTGGATCACTGATGCTTGCTGCCATTTCTCCTCCTAGCCAGTGGTGTCCTGTGCTGTAGCCCACAAGATATGTGGTTTTTAAATTTCAGCCAAATTTTGACAGCAGCTGATTCTTTTCCCTGTCCCTAAATGGATGCCAACTTTGAAAATTTGGTGGGGGACGTTTGATTGGATTGGAATATAAAATTCTTTAATAGTGTCATGCAGCATCAGATCATCAGCAGAAGCCCACCCACCAGTGATGCTGGGATTCAGGATCACTGCCCTACTCATGTTTCATGTAGTTGATTTTTAATCACAAAAACAATACAATTATCACAATTTGTATAACCACGGCTGTTTCTTTTACACTGCTTTGTGATTCACTGCTTTGTTTTTATCTGGGATTGGGATGAGCACCATGTGGCTGTGGAAAAATATGCAACATAGAGGTTAAGTGTCCCGCCTTGGGATGCATCATTCCACAGCTGGATTCAAATCCAGGTCTTTGGATTGAAAACCAATTCGCAATCCACAGAGCGTTTTTTTATTTTTCCCATTTACATTTCAAAAATAGACTGAACTGAAGCACCAAAAAGGAAATGACAGCATATGATGGACGCTATCTTTAATTAAGACTTAATCGTTGTCCTCACTGACTCGACCAAATGACCCAGAAATGACAGCTGGCTTAACTGTATCTTTTGGAAAAGCAGAACAACAAAATGAAAAAAAAAAAGAAAAGGACTCTGGCTAATGTTTATTCCATTTAAAAACAATTAAATATATAATATATATATATATAGCACATATTAGTCTGTGTATATTAATTTTAATGGTCTTTCAAATATATTTATTTATATATGTAAATACTGTATACTAATATTTATTTATATATGTGTGTGCGTAAATATATATTTAAGTATATTTTTCTTACTAAGTCCACAAGGTTATTTGTTTTAGATTACAACGCTAGTTCCATTCCATCCAATCACTGCACACCACCCCACCCCACTGTGACCAATGGTGTTGTCTACATGTGTATTTAGAGCCAGTCAGCAACAGATTTTCAAAAGATAATAACAAACACCTACACCGATACGTGATAAAATAATTATCATCATCAACAGTTTCTCCTCAGTGCTCCCAACCCCGCATGCCGCCAACCGCCAGCTGTCTCCTCATTCCCGGGAACGCTGTCTTCCCCCCCCCCTCCCCACCCTCAATCCCTCGCTGTGAACGCCACCTCTGCATCACATGTGCGAAGGGTTCCTCTGATCCAGTTATTGACTTTGCTGCTGTTGGTGCTCCCGGCATCTACTCCGTCCTGTCAGTCTCCTACATTTTTTATAACGAAATAACTATCAGCCCGGCTGCACCTGTTACTGCTAACACATGAAAGTGAATACGAAAGTTCCCAAATAAGAAGTGAAATGAAGAACTATTAAAGCGCAGAAGATGTTGTGAACTTTTTTGAAAAGTTTTGGGTTTGCATATTAAGACATTTAAGAGTAACTGATAATAGGTGACCAAATATAAACATACATTGCTATGGAATACTTTTAACATTTGGCATTTAAAAATAAAAATATTTATTTTATATATATATATATAAAACATATTTAATCAATTTTTGTCATATTAAATTTACTATTATTTACCTAAATTGGTAAAATGGACTTTTGTTCAGTTTTTTTACTGTCCTCAAAGAAAAATGTCATTATCTATATCTATCTATATCTATATGTATAGATATACATATATATTTATATAAATACATAATAATGAATACAACCTAATTAGATGTCAAGTGGGCCGTGTCCATGTTTTTCTCATTTGTTGTCATGCAAAGAGGTATATTAGATATTTGTTATTATTATGCGCTTATATTTAACGAAATATAATTTTACAAAAAATATTCTTAACATGAAGTGTATAGTTTTTAATTTCAAATTTGTTATTTTTAAATCATCAAGCGGGCCGGAATAAACACCCCAGTGGGTCGGTTTTGGCCCGTGGGCCATATGTAGGCACTCCTGATAAAAAGGGAGGGTGAAGCTTGACTTAAATGGCTTATGCGTGTCAATAGTGATGTTGTTGTGTGTATATTCAGGGTCTAATTTTCTGTGGTCTTATTGTTTTACCTAATTGTTAAGTCCACATTTATCTCTATAATCTGCTTCTCATGTTTTTTATGTATATATTTGCAAGAGTATTTTGTAACAATGAAACTTTTAATCAGATACTTGTATGTTTCTACTGGTGTATTCAATCAGCTTCCACCATGACTGTCCAATGAGCCTGGAGTATTTCGAAGGAAGAAAAATGGTATTGTAATTGGAACATTTACTGAATGCGTTATAGCCTGCATCGAAGTTCATTTTAACCGGCGCCAGTAATGAACATCTTGACTAATTAAATGTGGTTCTTCATTCAAAGTCATTTGTATTCATGGAGTATTGTTACTGCATCGATATGAGTCAAAGATAATGAAAAAACTCGAGGTGGTGCTGGGCCCACATCTACAAACTTGTGAATTTATTCGTTATGTAGATCTTGATATCCGTGGTTCGGAGCTCCTTTTTTTTTTAATGAATGCTAGGCATCTGGCTCGGGGGGTTAACAAGGAGACTCCATGTACTGTTTAACAATTCAGCCCACGCTCAGTCCATGTGACAGTGCATGCAATAGGGCCTGCACTTGTTTATATCGCTGGATAAAGTAGCCCACTGGCCGCAAATTAGGCATTCAGGCTCAGCGCCTTGTTGTGCTCCAGTATGACGTGTTCGGAGTACCAAAATCCATCTCTAAGCCCTGGCTACAACACAGACGTAGAAGTGACTTCTGGAGATGTCATCGCCTTTGTAATTACTCCCATGCACTCAGCACACTGTTCTGGGAATATGAATCTAGACTTTACCTTTAGTCTCAATGAACTCTGCTTTGAGGACAGTAAAAAAACAACAAAAAAACAAAAGTCAATATTTCAGACATGAATATATATTCATATTGAATTTAAGATGACAAAAAAAGTGATTTGATATCATTGTGTTTTTTAAACCCCACATGTTGAAACTATTCTGTAGCAATGAATAAAAGGACACAAACTTCTAATCCTCATTTGCTTTTAAAACGTATGTTTATATTTGGTCACTTATAAATAACAGTAGGTCCATGTTTTTTTTCCCTTTGTTTTCATCTAGAGAAGTACAAATATATTAGATAAATCTTCATATTTAATTAAATATAATTTTACAAATAATTTCCTATTACATGAAGTGTTTGTGTAATTTTTTTTTTTATTTTCAGAATTCAACACCAAGCGGTCAGGTTTAGGGCCACGGGGCATATGTTTAACACACCTGTATTATACGAATCAAAATAGAACTAATCCAGTTAAACTTTTAGCCATGTCTGCCTTTCAACTACTCTTGTCCATCTTCACTATAAAATGTCTGTCCAAAATGATCGGTCTAAAACTCACAGTAGCATTTTCCTTTACCATGTATTTAATTATAATTTTAGGATAGATAGATAATCTAAGTGAGTTCCGTTCGGGAAATTAGGAGGATGTAAATGCTTGTAAATCTAATAATTTACCTTTTCCATATCTGCAATTTGCATGAGTTTTCTAATAAATCATTAAGACCTGCTGACTTCTGAGAGTACTCGAAGACAGAGTTCCCATTAGAGCAATTAAAAGATTGCATCTAACGAGCCAATGTGAGCAGTCAAACCTCACACTTAACAGACATTTTTGCTTGACCTGTAATACATTAAAACATATTACATGCATAATTAAGCACAACCTAAGTGTTAACAGTAAGTAGATGGTCTCTGAGGTACAAGAAGACACACACACACACACACACACACACACACACACACACACGTCCATATGCCGACTGTTGCTCTGTATGGATAACCGATCTTTGTTTTTTTTTTGTTTATAATGACTTCTTCCTCAATCAAACTCTGTGCATTTTGCACAGATCAATCAGGGGGAGTCTAAAAAAATGTCAATACCTGAAATGTAGACTGCAGCTGCGGAGATTCTGGAGGTAACACAGCTTCCCGACGTGCGGTTGGCTGTTGAGATTCCCTCTTTGAACCTGTGAAATACCGAAGCATTGATTAATCCATCTGCGCTGATCTGAATTTTCCTTCAGTCTTCTTGTATCCCTTTGTAATATTCAAAGCAGTGTGCCCAGAATAACCATTAAATGGCCCTCTGCTCTCCTTGGGGTAAAGGAAAGACAGAGGCAGCATACAAATGAACTGTTTGCCAAGCAAAGGAACCAAACACAACTGCATTATCATTATTTTTTTCTTTTTTTCGTCTTCTAAGGAGGTACACACTATTGACTATACTGATGACTTAACTAAGAGCTGCGCTAATACACGTGAGTTATTTGACACCATGCTTGCGTGCGAGGGTCTATAAATTTTCACATTTCTTCTTCTCCCGTTTTATGCGGTTCCTCACTTCTTGTATCTTTTTAGGTCCTTCACTTTTTGCCCTCCTCTGCCCCACTTCTGTGATAACCTGCTCCTCCCCCTAACGTACTCCCACCTGTCTTTTTTCTGCCCCTTGTGTGTACACAACCCATGTCTTCCATACCTTCCGTACCAGTTTGTCTTCCTACCCCTCTGGTAAGCGTTCTCTTCCTGTGTATTCCCCATCTTCATGTGCTTCTTCCTGTTTCCCTGAGCTCTGTGTTTTTTGGCCAACTTGATCCTGTTTTTTATTTTATTTTATTTTTTTCTGAATCTTCACTTTGCTGCTTTGCCCATCCCTGCACTGGTCACCTGTGTTTCAGAATTTCTAAAACAAGGATTCATTTTGATCATTTTAAAATATATACTGGACAGTTGTTTGCCTGTTTTTAGGGGGACGATACGACGATATTGCTTCCTGTTTCATTCCTACGTTGTAGGTGGGTAGGTGGGTAGGTAGATAGATAGGAGGGTCCGAGCAGCCCGCCTTCAGTCCAGTTCATTTTGTATGGTACGCAGCAAAGTATGCCAAAAACGTTCCGCCTGTTATACCACAAAGTAGAGAATCCATGTATCCATTACGACCACATATGAACTTAATCATCTATGATGAAAACTCCGTACAGAAAGATTGACCTGCAAACCACTTATCTACTTGTTGTCAAGATGCGTGTTCGTGACAAGGTTGCCATCGTGTGGCCTAATGTACATTAGGATCCACTTATGAAATAGTTAACTAAGTTTGGTAAACTAATGGTTAATTTCTGTTGCTACTTTTGAAAGTCATGTTGCAAGTGTCTATTTTTAAGCAAGTTTATGTTAGCTGATCAAAGTTTGTCCAAATAAAAAAAAAAAAAACCATGGTCGATGACACAGCAAATCAGGTAACAAGCTGCATCCGCTTTGTATCACCTTTTTAGTCAAGCAATTTCTACAGACCGTCTTTCCGTGGATATCACGTGTTGCTTGCTTTTGGTAGAGCTAGCTGTGATTAAATGTTAAGGATTCGGTTTAGAACAACATTCATTAATAACAAATTTGAAACGTTAGCCTGTGAAGCTGTTGATTGATTAGCCCAACAGTTTAGGTGTCAACCCCTAATATTAACTTCGGCAGCACATAATGTATCTAAAAAGGTTTGTCTTGTTTGCACACCACTGTCTTACACTAATGCGCGTAATCATGAGCGGAATGACACATTTGTTGTGACACACTTTGTCCTCTTTCTAGCTCTCGCTGTTCCAGATGTGTCACCTCCCCCTCCCCCATATCTAACCGCGGTAATCAGACATCACTGAGTGGCAAATTATTCACTCAGAACGAATAATGCTCTATTTACATCTATACAACACTATCGCGTTGGCGGTCGTGTGTTCTGTTGTAATTTAATAATAATGCTAATAGGCCCGTTGCCTGTGGTTAAATGAATTATCTGTAAATAGATTTAGCGTGCTTGTACGGGTGTGAAATAAATGAGGAAAATAATCATCCCTTAAAGTGTCCTACTGATCTAAACTGGAAAACTGTAATTAAACGACACATTAAAAATACATTATTTGTTATAATAATAGATATGTAAATAATGTGTGATGGGTTTAGGAATATAAAAAATTAACTTTTTTTGTTCTAAAGGTTAAGGTTGTTTTGAGAGTATGTTGTTTAACAATAGAGCTATATACACCTATGTACTGTATATAACTGTTTACGTATGGTACTTGTGTATTCCCATGGTGCAGAAACAAAAACGCAAGCTCCCAAAACCATGTGAAACATAAGTACTATATATACATACATATATAAACATATATGACATAAAAATGTAAACTTTTTTTTGTCTTTCTTAGATTAGAAATCCCCTATTGTATCATTATGTAAACCCTATGGAAATTGATATAAATATATAGGTACAAATGTAAACATATATATTTTTTAAAAATTAATTAAGTGTTTTTCATTGTCTCAATTAGATAAAAAAAACAGTAAATGTAAATCCTATGGGTATTAATATAAATATATAGATACAAATGTGAATATCTGATATGAATATCTTTTACATTTAAAAAATTGCTAAATGCAAAACATGGAAATTGATAAATATATATATATATATATACATTCATATATGAACATATATGAATTAAGTTTTTCAACGAGTCTCTTTATATTTGAAACATGTTAAATGTGAACTATACAGAAAACGATGCCTGGATCGAGTTGAACAATGATGGAACGATGGTAAACTAGGACTAAACAGATTATGAGTCACATGCTGAATGCTTCTACAGTTAGCAAATGAACAGGTTGCAGATAAATGAAAAGGTTTTCAGTCTTTGTGCTAATGGAAGGGTCATGGCTCACTTTCAAAAAACATGCATTTGTGCAAAATTGGAGAGGCTTATCACACAAACACTGCGTTGCTCAAACCACATTAGGTTGTTGTAGGAGATAATCATCATATACTGCTGCCACGTCAACAAAGCCTTGGTCCAGCGGCCAATGCCAACATAAAAATGATGGATGGAAACGTTCTATCTGCCTAATATGAAAATGCATATTTTCGTCTGACTAAGGCTTGAACATTTACGAAGATATACTTTCACAAAGATTACGTATCTTCACAGAAACGCCTTGATTTTTTTTGTACCAGCGAAATGACAACGTTTGGCAATCCAGACCAACAGAGCAATCGCTTGATTGGTTTGCCTGCTTTCTGCCAGTAGATCTGTGTCTCTTTTATAATCTTGGCGCTTCGAGAAGAGAACAATCAGACAACAGTGACCACAGACTGTTGAGTGGTCTTTCATACAGCCAACACTGCAACAATTAGTATCCAGTGTATCTATTTCATATAAAAATGGCACTGAAAATAAAGAATAAAACAGGTCCATGTTTCCCCCCCCCTTTGTTTAAGAGCGCAACTTTTTTTTAAAAAATTCATATTTAATTAAATATAATTTTTTCACCAAAAAATCATAAAGCAGGCCGAATTGAGCACCCTAGTGCACCAATTTTGACCCATGTGCCATATGTTTGGCACCCCAGGTATAAACGATCAGTACATCTTCCTCAGTATCATTGCCTTTGAATGGTGTCACAGTTATGTTTTGAAAATATTAGACTCAACAAATCCAACCTAAGCGGTTACGAAACTTAACTTGACCCTTCTTCGGCGTCCACTGTTCGGATAAATGTTAAAGTATTACCACAGTGATACAGATTCCAGTTGAGTTCTTACTTTTCTGTTATTAAGGTTTGTTTCTTAAGCGAACCTCATGGAAAAAGACTCCGACATCCAACCATAAACATTCCTAATATTCAAGAAGAGTTACATTTGATTACACCAGTTTGTCTCATTAGTGCAGTTAAAATGCTAATCCAACAGAAAAGGCCCGATCCGCAGTTACGGTAATTGTTTTGAGTTTTTTTCCCCACACAATGCTGCAGGTCACAAACACCTCATCAGTGTTATCCACGTTTGGACAAATCAGCAATTCATGCACACAGCTGGATGAACTGTAGCCCCGAGGGCAAAGATTCCGCGTCCTTCGTTGATGAGTGGCAGGGTCTCCGAACACCTGCAGGCTAACTCGCTCAGCCGCTTTGTTTAGCACACCCCTCCTCTGCCCCCCCCACCCCACCCCACCCCAGGAACGCAGCAGCAGTTAAACTCTCAGCTGTTATCTACACAGCTGACGCTGTGTGCAAAAACACAGGGTGGGTTTGATTTCTCTCAAGAGATTATGTGGCAGGGGTTAGTGTTTGAGCTCAATTTGCAATGTTATGTCTGGCGCGCTGCCAGAGTGATACAGTGCGCTGCACTCCACCGATTTCATCGCATTAGAGACCAACACATTGGTACAGTGATATGGGAAATTAATGGCCACAGCCAGCCATTGTCTGTCTTACAGAAGATTCTGTTCATGTTTGAAATGAGAACCAGGCCGTTCACCGTGACTTTTCTCAACTTCTACTTCAAAGTTCACCCGTTTTCACATTTCAGATTTACTTTATTATGCTATTAAAGCAGTACCACCATAATGTAAAAACAAAAAAAACTATTAGGTGGTATTTTTTTTACTAAAATTGTACACAGGAAAGGAAGTCACATGAGACAGAAGGAGACTAGTCATACACTGGAATGTATTTAATGTCTCTCAATGTTGGTACCACCTGAGGGTCGCAAGATATTTTGTTTTGGGTCGTATCGCATCATGTTTCTTAGGAGTTTACGAATTATGTCTATTGACTTGGGTCGTGAAGTTTTGTGACTTTTAAAATACGGGTCCCCAGAAAAAAAAGTTTGGGAAACACTGGTTTAAACAGCAGGAAGTCAAGGAGAGACAGACGGAAGGAAATGTTTTTTACACAGCTTTTGTTATTCTTTATTATATTATATTTTCCTACTAGTATTGATTTATTTGTATTACTGCTTTTAGGGAATGTTTCATTCATTATATGAAATTACAGTGAAAAATAAGAAGAAAAGAATCATTGGTTTCTTTAATAGGAAACTGATCGCGATCAGCTGAGCAAGCGTAGCTGACAATGCAGTCAGAAAAATCTGCATTATTATACAAACTATAAAAGAAGAAAAAATAAAAACAGCTCATTTAAA